TATGAAAGGCTTCTCTTAGATCTATCAAGGTACACCACCATTGGCTCATGATAGATTCCTAACCGAAAGTTATAAAAGAGAAAAGTTTGTCCCAGAACTTTTGTCCGGCACTGTACTATCAAGAATGTTATCAGCAGTTCAGCTATGACAGATCTTGTGCAATCTTACTTACGATAATGGAAATACACGGTTGTATTTCTGAGTTTCATGAAGTCTAAAGTCTATTACTCATTTCTTAACACTCTTAAATAATTTGCGGATTTGTAGAAGCTAGCATTGATAAAATAATCGTTCCTATGTTCTTCTAGTTTATGATTTGCACACATTATTTAGTTTACGATTTGAATGAAATCAAATAGGTACTATGGATTCTCCAGCTTTTAGTAGTTTTTGTGATGCTCGTAGTATTAATAAAAGTTTAATTGAACTCGATTTACGTAATAATGATATCAGTCATGTCGGTGGTTCTGAATTAGCAACAGCATTAAAAAGAAATGTGACATTACGTGTATTAGGTATAAAATTTTGATATAATCTTCATCAATAGATCTTCTTTGGAAGAATATTGGTTTAGTTGGTAGTCGAGCTTTATTAGCTGCACGTCAATCGAGTTCAATTCGTAATGAATTACATTTAACTGGTAATAATGTGCCTGATGATATTATGCAAAATATTAGCAAATAGTCAGTCTCTTTATTTCTTTAAAATACAATGAATGTAGATTTTTTGTTAATTTTGAAATTTAGATAATGTTTTAGCGAAGAATACTGAAAAATGTCAAATACCTTTTGGACATTCACAAAATATGGCTATACTTGCAAGACAAGTACAAAATATATATACAAAAAAAAAAGATCGACAAATAACAAGTGCACTTAAACGTGTATCACTACAAGAGCAAGCAATTCTTAAAGCAAATAAATAAAAATAAACTATTTTCTGTTATAATAACAATAAGAATGAAGTTTTATCTATTTTTCTTTGATAGATCTTTAGCTGAAAAAGTCAACAAGCTACAAGAATCATTAGATGATCGAAAATTAGCATTTAATGCTGTATCGGCAAAAAATGTATTACTTGAAGCAGACTTAACTGTAGTAACACAACAATATAATGATACACAAAATGAAATTAAAAAAGTGAAAATTGAAAAAGATCATCTGGTAAATCGAATTCGACGAGAATATCAACAAGGAAAAGATGTAAAAATTGAAAATATTCACATTATTCATAAAGAATGTCTAATTTAACATTATAGATTGGCAGCAGAGTGAAGAAGGAAAATATCCGTTATTTGGGCAGATAGTCTTGTTAGTTAGACTAAAAATGACATCTACTTTTTGTTCTTTACATGTGTAGATTAACATTCTACGTCTAATATTAGTGTTATAAACTATGTATTGTATTCTCCAGAATTGTGTATTGATATTGAAAACTTGCCTGATCAAATGAAGTGATGCACTTTATATCTTATCGAATGATTAAAGTTTTTGTGGGATTCCTTAGAAATCACAAACATCTTCGAATTATGTACTACTTAACAGTTCAGATTCATAATCTTAATTGATTTGAAAAAGATTTAGAAAATCATTTATTACAAGTAGATAAATCTATTCATTGGCATTGATCATAATCAGGAAAAAAAATAGCAGAGACTACAATTTTGAAGTTTTTTGAAAATTTGAAGTCTTTGTACTGAATAGACATGCACCGAACCCAGGTGTTCGGTCTTGTATGCAGTCATACAATTAGGAATTAGAAGTAAATCAAAAGAACTGCTCTTACGATAAGCTAGAATAGGTCTACAGATAATGAAGTAAATGATCGAAGCACTAACTGGTCATTTAAAGTTTACCTCTACTATTTGATCTTTTGTTTTTACAACAAACTTAATAGTAATGAGCAATACTTGAATGTCGCTTATGAATAACTCCATAATCAATCTTCATCGAAACAATTTGCTTCCTATTCGCTAGGAATTATTTAATATTCAAGAAAAATTTCAACGAGATTTAAATGAAAGTTTAGAAATACAACGACGTTTAAGCGAAAAAAGTTCATGATCTTCGAGAAACTGTAAGTTATTATTGATTATATCAATTATTTTTTTTCGAACTAACAAATTTCAATAGATAACAATCAATGATCGTGATAATTAATTAAAAGTTTCATCATTAGACGATTAAAATCAACGTTTAAAAACTAAAACATAAGAAGATTTAAA